GGACGTCCCTCTCTCTTCTGAATCCGCCTCGGTGATCATGGTCCGCAATCTATTTCTTTCAAAAGTGTTGCGCCAGGTTTATGTTGTCGGCGTTTCTCTTTAAACCTAGTTGTTTTTTTCATGGACAAGAACAGTTTTTCCAAAAAAAAAAGGAATCTGAGGTTAAGTGGCTTTCGTCCACTGATGTCGCACTTTCGGATCGATTAGAAACGTGTGAATACTTACACAATGACTATACGTTTCACTGCAACTGCCCACAACACAACATCTAAAAACTCTTTCTCAAAAAAAAAGAAAATAGACAAAAAAAGAAAGAAAAAAAAAACGCTGACTGAAAAATGTATATCGTTTAAAAGTATACTGAATGACCAGTGGTATTACAGCTCAGGGGTATGACTTCCTCTCACATTTTGGCATTTGGTGGCGCACTTTCGGCGAAAGTCGGAAATCCGGAAACAGTCGACCGTTTCAGGATAGGTGGGCGTGGCTACAACACGAGAAGTATCCCAAATTTACTTGGATACGAGTAATCATTTTCAGCAAAAAAATCAATACCTGCCCATTTCAGTGGGACACAGATCTAAAATGGGAAACGTGAGGGTGGGCATTGCACAGGCACTTTAAGTTGATTTGCATACAAAGCAGAGCTTGCAACATGATAGCTGTTCATAAAGGGTGTTTTTTTTTACTTTTCATATAATACAGTAGTCACACAATGAGGCAGTTCATATTTGTCTCAGTGAATCATTAATTTTTGACAGACACCTGTACAAAATACTTGGACTAAAGCCAGCTAAAATTTTCTGTTATCTTGCATGTTTTATGAATCTATTCACATCTAAATGCAGCACTTTTTTTTGCAATGAGACATTTGTTTTTATTCTAAAATATCTGAATTACTTTGAATAAAGCTGAAAATGATGTCCCTTAAAATAATGAAACAAATAAGGCACCAATGTTTTTGTAAGATATTTACATCTTTTAAGGACATTCGGTAGACTGATTCCCCACTGTTGTTTCAACCCCAAAACTTGTTTGTATTCAAAATTAATTATGACAATGCATATTTATATTGAAACAAACTATGATAAAGGGAATTATATTATATAACAAAGGGCAAGGTCACCAGAGTTCAACTATGTTGTTATATTAAATGCTGTTTGGAAGCCTTATTACTGACATGCCTTGACTAATCATGTTGAAACTTGACACAATCATAGAATAAATTTTTGATACTATCTGACGAATCTGACTACACGCATAGGTTATATACATATTGACTGGCATTTATTGCAAGATTCCCGACTCGTAACATTTGTAGTAAAAATGCACCAAGATCAAGGCTTTGTAAAAATACATTTCAGGCATTCCTGGATGGATTGTGTTCATATGTGGTGCTACATTTCAAATGATTGCAATCACCTAGATAGTTAACATCTGTCATAGGACATGTGTATACATGCACCCCTCTAATATACTTCCATAGAAAACGTACAGGGACTATGTCATGACTTTTTACATCGAGCAATTATTTTTGCAACTTCTATTGTTTCTTTCCTTCATAGGATTTGACCAATATAGAGTTATTTATGATTTCAAAGGATGTAGAAGAGTCGTTACTTCGTAGAGAAACTTCCACTTGCCTCGCTTGGTGTCATGATAACAAATCAAAACTTAGAAAAATCAAGGTAAGTTTGTAGTGGTAGTGGAATTAATATTACACAATGTTTTTTGTAACACTGGTCATGTGAACTTATCACAAGGCAATCATCCTGTGATACTGGTTTTTGTATTCACTTAGTCTATGTTGTATTTTGATTTTGACGTTTTCATGCACCATAGTTTGATAATTTGTTTTATGGGTGATTTGATTGATTGAAGTACTTCATTAAAAAGCAACTGATATTTGGCTCTTTAACAATTGGTAATTGTGTAAGAAAACAATTATTAAATTTCATTCAGTGTCTCTACGCCTGTGTTTTGGTACATTTGTGCCCCTGCACCTGTGTATTGGTACATTTGTGCCCCTGCACCTGTGTATTTGTACATTTGTGCCCCTGCACCTGTGTATTGGTACATTTGTGCCCCTGCACCTGTGTATTGGTACATTTGTGCCCCTGCACCTGTGTATTGGTACATTTGTGCCCCTGCACCTGTGTATTGGTACATTTGTGCCCCTGCACCTGTGTATTGGTACATTTGTGCCCCTGCACCTGTGTATTTGTACATTTGTGCCTCTGCACCTGTGTATTGGTACATTTGTGCCCCTGCATCTGTGTTTTGGTACATTTGTGCCCCTGCACCTGTGTATTGATACATTTGTGCCCCTGCACCTGTGTATTGGTACATTTGTGCCCATGCACCTGTGTATTGGTACATTTGTGCCCATGCACCTGTGTATTGGTACATTTGTGCCCCTGCACCTGTGTATTGGTACATTTGTGCCCCTGTGCCCCTGCACCTGTGTATTTGTACATTTGTGCTTCTACACCTGTGTATTTGTACATTTGTGCCCCTGCACCTGTGTATTTGTACATTTGTGCTTCTACACCTATGTATTGGTACATTTGTGCCCCTGCATCTGTGTATTTGTACATTTGTGCCCCTGCACCTGTATATTTGTACATTTGTGCTTCTACACCTATGTATTGGTATATTTTGTGCCCATACACCTGTATTGGTATACCGTATTTCAGTAAAAACTTTATAAAAAATTATGTTATTCAAATTATGTATATGATAACAATATTTATTTGTAATTATGGCCTTGAAGTATTCAGTACTGTTTTAAACAACAACACAAAATAGTTTTTGTTCAATAATTCATTCATTCATTCATATGTGCTCTGAATCACATACCCGTCAACCAAGCATTCACATTATGACCAGCATTCACATGGAATTCGAACTGGGTTATCTGCTCTCCCGTCTCAATCAAAACACATTTCCGGGTTACAATGAATTAGAAGGATGATTATTGCCTGTGGCGAGTAATTACTGTATTTAGTTTATCTTCTGCCATCCTCAGTAAATCCAACATTCAAATAATAATAATTAGCCTAACAATCAGTTGTTAAACTAAGATGAACATGGGTGATAGATTCAACCAAACAGTTGAGGCAGACGTATTGTCAAATCAGTGTTTCTGTATAGGTCGATTATCTCTGCCTGCCAGGCCTATGCTTCATGCGTGCTTGTTTGATGATAAAACACCAAAATCATTGAGTAAGAAAGTAAATGATTCAAATAAGTTTCAGCCAAATTCAAACTTGACATCTACTGAGCATATATGCAATGCATCATGGGAGAGGAATTCACATTTGGCATCTACTGAGCATATATGCAATGCATCATGGGAGAGGAATTCACATTTGGTATATACTGAGCATATATGCAATGCATTGTGGGAGAGGAATTCACATTTGGTATATACTGAGCATATATGCAATGCATCGTGGGAGAGGAATTCACATTTGGCATCTACTGAGCACATATGCATAGAATTCACATTTGGCATCTACTGAGCATATATGCAATGCATCATGGGAGAGGAATTCACATTTGGCATCTACTGAGCACATGTGCAATGCATCATGGGAGGGGAATTCACATTTGACATCTACTGAGCATATATGCAATGCATCGTGGGAGAGGAATTCACATTTGGCATCTACTGAGCATATATGCAATGCATCGTGGGAGAGAAATTCACATTTGGTATCTACTGAGCACATATGCAATGCATCATGGGAGAGGAATTCACATTTGGCATATACTGAGCACATATGCAATGCATCATGGGAGAGTAATTCACATTTGACATCTACTGAGCATATATGCAATGCATTGCGGTAGAGGAATTCACATTTGGCATCTACTGAGCACATATGCAATGCATCGTGGGAGAGAAATTCACATTTGGTATCTACTGAGCACATATGCAATGCATCATGGGAGAGGAATTCACATTTGGCATATACTGAGCACATATGCAATGCATCATGGGAGAGTAATTCACATTTGACATCTACTGAGCATATATGCAATGCATCATGGAAGAGGAATTCACATTTGGCATCTACTGAGCACATATGCAATGCATCATGGGAGAGGAATTCACATTTGACATCTACTGAGCACATATGCAATGCATCATGGGAGAGGAATTCACATTTGGTATCTACTGAACACATATGCAATGCATCATGGGAGAGGAATTCACATTTGGCATCTACTGAGCATATATGCAATGCATCATGGGAAAGGAAATCACATTTGGTATCTACTGAGCATATATGCAATGCATCATGGGAGAGGAGTTCACATTTGGCATCTACTGAACATATATGCAATGCATCATGGAAGAGGAATTCACATTTGGTATCTACTGAGCATATATGCAATGCATCATGGGAGAGGAATTCACATTTGGCATCTACTGAGCACATATGCAATGCATCATGGGATTATCCTGCATTAATTATTCACTGGGTCCTAATTTCATTATCTTTGCTAATAAGTAAAATCTGCTAAATTAAATTCACATGAATATGAAAAATAACAATAGAATTTATTGTTTCTTTGCCATATTTGCTCGAAATATCAAAATAGTGAAATTAAATGCCAGTGAAAATAAATAGTTTTACAGTTGTGTGGAGACAGGTTGGTATGAAAATAACTTCACCTGAAATCATCAGTCCTGCTTCCGTATAGACATCCTTATGGGATACATTGCTCACAGACCTACTACAAAAATTGAAGTACATGTTGGTTCATTAGATGGAACACGAATCACAATATATTCTCTCATAAACTTGTTGTAGATTACATTGTCTAACCCTGGAAGACATTTTCTCCTCCAGAGCATATGTCGGTGGACACCATGTGACTTTTAGCTATATTCAGTCATCTCATGCAAGATTACAAATAGATTAGTTAATACTCATAATCCTGGCTCAACAGATTGAAAGAAAAAAATATTGTGCAAATCATGCGTTTCTGAGATCCAAATCTGTTGGCGTCAGCTGGGCTTTAATTATTCATATTTCTACTAGCTTTTTTTTTGTCTCAGATATGACCTACGGTATTGGTTGACTTTTCGGGGTAATATTGAGTACCGGTAATAAGGTGCCAGGGGAACAAAGATTCTTAAGTTTTTCATTTTTCAATAATCTTTAACACTGAATACCAGATGAATATATAAATAAATAAATAAATAACAGTAGCACTGGTTGGACAGCTTCTTTTTCAATATCATGATTTTTCCTCCAACTTGACATGTTTCTCGTGTAGATCAGCGAAACAACAACTTTCTACTACAAGATGAACATAGCCATAAATTACGACAACACTGGTCTAACACATCAACCACTCCTGTCCTGACCCAGATCACGTAGCTCCTTATCATCATCTATCTTCAAATCTACAAATGAAAACCAATGTCTGAAACTCCCCATATTTTGAATAATTACCAAGTTTACCAACAGTTGTTTTTGAAATAATATTGTATAATGGTTTTGATAACTATCTATCGTCGTTTTATCAGTTTGATCTCAATTAAAATTCATGTACTTAAAGTATTTAGTAGTATTGTTAAAGCGGGGGAGTCATCACCTGCGCATGTGTCAGATGGCCATAGCGTCTCAATGTTTACAAACAAGCGTCTACCCATGAGCCTTTGCGTGTGCTGTTATTGTCGCTTGGGACTCAATTCCCGCACGTGCGTAGGTGACGACCCTCCCGCTTTAACTTCTATCAAAATGCGAAGTGTAAATAAAATGTCCATTTTCCAACTGTTGAGGGCGCCATCACATGTACACTACCGGTAATAATATATCATGATAATTCTATCAAAAAGTCAACAAATGCAATTTCTTTTAGCTCATATCTCATGCAGATAAATGCTGTATTTGATGAGAATTTTAATTCATTTATGGCAAGTCAAGCGGAGGAAAACTCTCTGGATTAGTATAATGAGTTCTGTAATGAACTCCTTCCCTTGTCGTTTATCACCGCTGTCAGACAAAGCTTGAGTCAGCGTAGATTTCTGTGTAATTTCAAACATTTCAATGCTTGCAGGACAAAAACTCATAGAGGAGTGTCAGTGGGAACAGGTTTATTTTAAATTTGCTTTGATTAGTCACTTAAAGCCAGAAAAAAAAAAATGGGTTTGCTTTTCGTCCCAGGAAAAATTGCAAAATTATTTGGTGACACAGTTTTATTTTTGTACTTTTATACAATTGAAGTTATATTATTATGCGAAATATTGAGATTAATACAGTACATGTAATATTATTTGAGGAACATGAATATTAATTAATTTTTTTATGTTATTATGTTGACTTTTTTAGCCTGTATTTTCTGTACAAAAAACTTAGATAATATATTATTGCATTGTTTCAGGACTTTCATACTCACTTCTGCCATTCAAAGAAAAGATATTCAGCCATACATTTGTTATTTAATCTAGGTTCTCAATTTACATGGTTGTAATAGTTGCACTTAATACTTATGTTTTTAATTTAAGGGTGCTTTATTTACTTGCTATGTGAGTTGTTACTTGTGTGTGTGTGTGACACCAAGGTACTGGCCAATTGACTGTCATCTCTGCTATGGAACAATTGTTTTTGTTTTTATATACAAGTGCTGTATGCACTTGAGTGTTGAGAGGATGAATCACAAGTGATTTAGACACAAGCAACTATTATAACTTGCAAAGTAACTCACCTAACCATTTTAAAACAATGTGATCAAAAATGGAATACACGAATGCCAAAAATCTGAGATTAAAGGGCGGTGGTTGTCGTGCCGCGTCCTGTTTGATATGGGACTCATAGCGACGTATACAACGCATGTAAAATACATTGTTTATTTACATGAAATTTGATCACATGCTGCGCGACGACCACCGTGCTTTAATTAAGTCTAGGTTTATAACAAAAACCTTATTCTGTGCACAACATGAACAAGATAATCTATAATTTATAATACTTGATAATAATTCAGCTCTTCTTTTTTTTTCATCGTTTTCTTTGCAGAGTTCTTTAGAGTTCAATTTACGTACTCAAGAATTTATAGAACATATACGTTTCAATAAACGCATGGAGGCAATTCGCCATGCTCGGCGGTTCTTTTCTAGTTTAGAACAGCAGCAGCTACCTGAAGTACAGAAAGTCATGGGCCTCCTTGCTTATCCTTCCGATACTACAATAGGTTCTTATAGGGTACGTATTCTGTTGATCAACTTTTGTGAGGCTTGTCATATTATTATATACTTTACATACACAGTTCATTGCAAGAATTCATATTTGAATCTGAATATGATGCTAACTTTACTGATATCTAAAATTAGTATACCCTTTTTTTACTACTTTCTTTCAAATGTAGTTTTTATTGTTAATTTGAATCTAACATTGATTAATGTTTTCAGAGCCTTTGTTCATAAATTCTAAAAAATATGCATTTTGCATGCGAAAAACTCAATTAAAATTGGAAAGGTTAAAGGTCGACCATACGATATATACAAAATGAAACATTTGTATGTATTGGTAATTTGATTCAATTCAGTTAGTCATGAACTAATTTGTATATCATTTCAATATATCGTTTGTTGCGAAAATAGTGAAAATATCTTACCTAGAGAACATTTAACAAAAAATGTGACAGTCTGACAATATACACATATGGTAACAATATCTTGCATTATTTCATAGTGGTTTTTCATTGAGTCCCTTTGACCAAAGAAAATCAACCCTGCTGTGTCAAACTTTATGATTATTTATGAATAAATTAGCACATTGCATTATGATGTCATGTTAAGTTTTAATTGTTTTCACAGGAACTTTTAGATGCAAGTCGGTGGCACATGTTAGTTGAACAATTTAGAGCCGACAATTTCAAACTCCATCAGCTTAATTCCAACTCTGTATTTACAGTCACTCTAGAGTCTGGTTTAGCTGCTTTGAAGACACCGTATCCTTTACTCATGACATAGTCCCTGTCACATGAGTGTCCAAAACTTCTACCAGACCTTACCTCACTGCATATCAAATTTGTTCTTTTGGAACCCAAAATTGCATTTAGGTACTAGTTAAATTGTGCGTATTTAATTAGATTCCTTATTAGTTAATTTGTTGATTGTTCTTTGATCTCGTATGCCGAAAACTCAAATGTAAATAACTTGTATGTAAATTCTAGAATGCTCACCGACCAGTGTCAGTCAGCTGTGTTGAATTGTGTTCTGGATCACACCACTGTCATTTACAGAAGCACATTCACTGCTAATAGAGCAAATTCTACCTTATATGACCCGTTTTATGAAACCAATATAGCCATTATTATAATCTACTCCTACTTCATTTGAAGGGTGAATTTATTTACATTTTCTTGCAGACCCGCTATACATATTTGCTATCACAATCTATGTGTAATTAGTTTGGAATTTATTTTCGCTGGAAATATAAATTAGAAAAAAGTGCATTTTGGTTTTACATGCAACTCAAAGAAAATGTGTGATGATAAATATCATACAGTACGTAACTAAAAGGTGTGAACGCAGTAAAGGTTTTATAAATATAACATTTAAAATTCAAAATGGATGTTGGAATTCCAATTGAGCATAAATAAATATTATTGAATTAATTCAACGTTTTCCAACAAGCAAATGCTTTGATTTGAAGTGAACAGTCACAACTACTGTCACTGAAGGCATGTTCAGCTCTTAAGCTAATCATAGTTACATATTTAGGTCATTCGTGAGTATTAAAACTGATATTGAGATTTCCATCATATTTATATTATGGCTTTATTTTATATTGTTGTTGTTTACAAAATGCACATAAAAACATAAATACTTTTCGCTAAAAAATTATGCATGAACAATTTAACTTTGGTTCCTATGAGGAAAAGATCGAGTCATATCTTATATTTATTTGGTAGCATGTCGTGAAAAAAATAGTATGGTAATCGCAAATTATTAGGAGATTCTGGGGAATACTATTTATTTTATTGGTATTTGCAAAGATTTATCAACGTGTTAATAAATTAAGGTACAGATTTCTATTGCATGTTGTATTCATACCAAGCTTGTTGTCATAACAACCACACATAATCATTCTCCTTAACATATGTGTTCAGTCATTGTTACCGTGATGATAGTAAGAATGCAGAGTGTCCAGTTTGCAATAAGAATTTAAACGAATTAGCCAAACCATTGCCATTTGCACACTGTGCTCAGTCTAGATTAGTTTGCTTCATGTCAGGTAAGCATTTTGTCCGTTTTGTCAAAATAACATTGGCAGTCTTGACACAGAGAACTGTCACGGTAAAGAGGATGTCATTTGCATAATTTAATAAAAACACTTGCCATGTGATATCGCCATGACTCCACCACAAAATTGTATGCATGTTGCATCAAAAAACTTTCAAAAAGAATCCAATATGGCCGCCAACATCTGGGCTCCTCTGCACATGCAAAGGGTAGATGCCAATATGGTGACTTTTTTCTCTAATTTGAATTCTTTCTTTGATAAATATTTTTTTTTTTAAATAACACAATTATGTTGTACTTGTTTTTATCTCAGGACAAATAATGAATGAACACAATCCACCAATGATGCTACCTAATGGATATGTGTACGGACAAAATGTAAGTGTATATGCTGATGTGGGGAATGGTGGTCAGCACCTAAATGTCACAATGCCTAGGCTACATGCAGCACTTTGTAAATGTGACAATGCCTAGGCTACATGCAGCACTTTGTAAATGTCACAATATCTAGGCTATATGGAGTATCTTGTAAATGTCACAATGCCTAGGCTACATGCAGCACTTTGTAAATGTCACAATGCCTAGGCTACATGCAGCACTTTGTAAATGTCACAATGCCTAGGCTACATGCAGCACTTTGTAAATGTCACAATGCCTAGGCTATATGGAACACTTTATAAATGTCACAATATCTAGGCTATATGGAGTATCTTGTAAATGTCACAGTGTCTAGGCTACATGCAGCACTTTGTAAATGTCACAATGCCTAGGCTACATGCAGCACTTTGTGAATGCCACAATGCCTAGGCTACATGCAGCACTTTGTAAATGTCACAATGCCTAGGCTATATGGAACACTTTGTAAATGTCACAATTGTAATACTTCATGGTTGCAGACCAGAGAAAGAGACAAGCACTCAGCAATCACAATTACAGACTAACTTTATTGTCAATGTACAGCCTTTATATAAAGAGTTACATAACTAACCAGATGGTCAAATACAGGGCAGTTGTTATTATGTATACACATCTATTAAAGTTTATTGACATGCAAATTACTACATCTTTCTCCACCTTAATAAAGACAACATC